CAAATAAAACTTTTTAAAATTATTCACTATGATACATAGATAATGTATTTATTCATTTACTACTTTAAGGTAAAAATTTATAAAAGGTGTACATGCTTAAATTAGTGGACAATATGTTAGATATCATGTATGACAAATACATTCCTTAAATCACTAAAAACATAATATTCCTATAATGTGTCTCAACCTGTTAATTTCCCCCCATTTTATCATTCATGGAATTTTGATTGTTTTACTGCTTTGAGGCTCAGATAATTCAATTCTCTAGAGTAAAGGACAATTAGTTTTCCTGGGAACAGTTTAGCTGTGCTCCTATTTTCTAAGATTCTCATGAAAATAAACAGAGTAATACACTTGAGGTATAGAACTGCAAGTATTGACTCTAAGTTTGTTTCGTGTTGGTCTTGGCATATGCGTAGGTTCAGGAAAACCACATAAAATGTTATCCTGCCTCAAATAAGCTCAAACTGCTAGTGTACATCCCTGAAGATGAAGAAAGGCTAACTTTGTTTTCTAATAGAGCTGTTTCAAATAACTCTCCCAGGCAATCATGCTGACAGCAAACAATAAAGAATATGTCATAAAATAACATTTTATGGTAGTCTGCCAAGAAGCTGAGCTTTGCAGCGGGATAAATGGCCCCATCCTGAAATATGAGCACAAAGAAGAATAGGAAATTTGGGATTTATTGCTTTAAAATCAAACTAACAATGTATTACAGCAGTACATTGGGAAAAAATATAATGTGCTATGAGCCCACTAAATAACCATGAATGATGAGAAGGTATTTGAGTTGTAGTCACATAAACAGCTATATCACAAACCTTATGAAAATCTCCTGAAATTAGCTTACTTGCAGATTTAGAAAAAGGAGAGGGACAAAAGATAAGATAGGCAGGGGAGAGGCATGGACAAGTATGCTATAAGTGAGTTCTTCTAGCATTAGTGATCCAGCAAATGCCATTTTTAATTTTTTTTTTTTAACTTTTGGTTCCTAAAGTTTTTGACACCTGATGATACCATCAGAAGTTACTTTTGTTCTTGACATATTTACTAAAGCAAAGCAAAGGTTAACCTTATAAACAATATTTGATTATTGTAAGACATGAAGGAGTAGGAGGAATACATGCAGAAAAATAGAAAAATATACTGTTCCTTATACTTTGTACTGCCTCTTATGCCATTTTTTACTTTTTATCTATAAGGTAGAGACAGAATAGATAGACACAGAGAGATGTTTCACCACTGATTAACTCTTCAAATGCTTACAAGAGCCAAGGCTGGACAAGGCAGAAACCTGAAGCCAAAAACCGAATCCTGGTCTCCCAAATGGATGGCAGAAATCAAAGTACTAGAATTACCAGCTGCTGCTTCCCAGGCTACATACGCATTAGCGAAAAGCCAAAACGAAAGCACAGCCAGGTTTTAAATTCCAGAGCTTAGACACAGGATGCAAGCATCCCAAGTACGGCATAACCCCATCTGCACAAAATACTACACTACTATTTAATTTTCATTAACGTTCATTACATAGTAATAGTGAAAAGTTACTGTCTCCAAATTAAGAAAATTGAAACTATCTGCATACTTCTTCTCACAACGCCCATGTCACACCTCTTCATTGAGACCTCTAGTAATCACCAACATGTTCAAATTTCAGCCAAGTATATAAGGAGTCCATGGCTACAAGCAATAAAATCAAAATGAGACCATGGGGATTAGTGGTAGACAACTGGACTGTGTAGATGTAAGTATTCTGTTTTGAAAGTAAAGAGCAGGTCAGGCTCTAAATAGCCTAACTGTCAAAACACCAGTTAAGAGGCCCATGTCATTCACTCACTCACCCACACACACATTAAATCGCTCTAGTTCAATTCCTGGCTCCAGCTCCTGGCTCCATCTTCTCCCCCATAAAGACTCCCGGAAATAACAGGTGATGACTCAAATGGTTGGCTTCCTGTCATCCACATTGAAAACCAGGTTCTAATTTCTGGCTCCTGTCTTCAGCACTGCTCATTTTGAGCATTTGAGAAGTAAATCAACTAATGGGAGTTCTGTCTTTCTGGATTTGTTCTCTCCAAATCAACTAGCCTTTTTTCCCCCCAAAAGAAATTGCCACTTAAAAAGAGAAAAGTGAAGAGCAGTGTGAAAAGACAAGGCATGAAAGCAGAAGAATCGAAATTCAGGTGCTTCAAAAAGTTCATGGAAAGTAAAAGGTAAGTTGATTTAAATGCAAGAAAAAACATTTTTAATTTATGCAGTTTTCTCATAATAGGCATTTTCCCTAACTTTCTGAAGATCCCTCAACACACACAGATATTCCCTGTGCCTGGTCACTGGGCCCTGTCTTTTCCTGGACAACTTGCACTCAGCCAGCATTTCTCTCCAACAGCACATTCCTCAGGAAACATCCTTGACCTCCACACTCACACCTCCTTAGCCTGATCTGAAGAGCCTTTCCAGGTACATCTATGACACTCAGCACTTTTCACAGTCACTCTTTATCATGTTATATTTGACTGCTTACTTATCTCATAATCCTATATTTAGCAGGCAGAAGACAACAAAGTCTGATGTGTCTGCTTTTGTATATCTGGTACATAGGCACCCAATCAGTTTGCTAAGGTAAAGACCAGGTAGGATTCCTGTCTAAGGACATTGTCTGACACTGGACAATCTTCCTTGCTTTCATAATATTGTATTGCAAAACAGATCATGACAAATTTATGCAAATCCAAATGCCTTCCAAAGTAAGAACATAATGAAAGATTCCTTAGTGGAATTGATTTTTCTTTTCCTTAGAGAAAGTTAGTTGTCATAGCAGATAGTATGGTAAATTACCAATAGTAAGCTAGCACTGTTTCCTATGAGTCACATCCTCCAAGATCAGCTCTAGAGCAGAGAAATGCAAATAACCCCATCTGTACTTGCTATTTAACAAAAATGCTGCACGGGCAAGTAAGCTAATGGGAAGAAAGAATTTTGAACATTCTTAATTGATGTATTAAAGGTATTAAGATCGTTTCTTTAAAACCTAAATGAGCCTTTCTTACATTTTCCTGTTTCTTTGTCTGAAATAAGAAACATTGATAAATGAATTTGGGAGTGAAGTTTGACCTGACATGGTGACTTTCAGTCTTTGAATATAAGCAGAGATCTTTTGGCCTATGACCTTGATCTAATTTAGTTATCATAATCCTGACCATCACCATCATATATTATGGAACAATAGATTTAGGCTCAAACATATTTCTGAGTCTTGATACAACAGTCAGAATTCAGTCTGAAAGAAGAAATCTGTGAATACTTATTTTATGTATTATTGGCTATAGTTTTTCAACTTTGAAAAGATCCCTAGGGGATCAGAATAAAACCAACTCCAGATTCTAGGTCCCTTTCTACACAGGGTGGAGAAAGGTAACCGCTACAAACTCATCTCCACCGTGATGTGAAATTAGATTTGCAAAAAAACCTAAGATCAGCCATGGCATTACTAGTAAGAATATTACATAATGAATATTAAGACTTGTGTTTAACACTTTGGCAATCACATCATCTAGCAGCACTCAGCATTTGAAATTTGAAGACTTTAAACATCTTAAGGTCAGTGAATAAATTTGTAAAATATTTGACCAATGTTGATTACTGTGGAAATGTAACCTTTTCCCAGTCACTCATGAACCAGAAATGACACATATATTACAGAACGTCAGTTTTGTCCAAAAACTTCTCTAGCATCACTGCAAATCTTGCTACACAAAATTTCAAGATGGCACAACAGTGGTCCCGTCAGCTTTCAAACCCAGCCACTTGAGGCGTGACAACTTATTACATGAAGAAATGCTTTCACAAGAGTCTACAAGCCAAAAAATAATGTGGCAGTTACAAATTGCTTCCTATCCATCACAGAATATAGAAATTTCACAGTACCCTTCACACTAATCACAATTCTTCTCTTGAAAACACATTGAACAATTCCATTACTTTTCTTTTGGAGAAGAGCACAGAAACAATTCAAAATTATTGTATCACTTCTGCTACGCTCCATGATGTGGATTCTGTGACTAGAATTTAACATCATACTGGAAGGGAAGGGAGAAAAGAAACAAAGAGGAGAGAAGACAGTTGGCATGTCTTTTACTTATTGAACACCAAGTTCTATAACTGCCCCAAAAGAATATTTGTACCCTACTGCATGATTCCTGTCATATATTATAAAAACATTTCTTTTTTAAAGAATTGTTCCAAGAGAATACAACAAGCCAAAAGGAGAGAACCGTATGGTGGAAGTTGAAAATTACTGTGTCAAATAGAATTCCTTAGCTTTGTATCCATGGATCTTTATAGCAAAGTTCCTTCTATAAGAAATAAACTTCCATTACCTGTATAGGTTTCATTCTTATTGATCAGTTATCATATGGCTTCCTAACCTCATCTATTACCATTCTGCCCTTAGCATTCCTCACTCCCTCCCACAGTAACACTTACCTAAGCATTCATCTCCAGTCCATCTCTAGAATTTTAAACACGACCTATTTATTTCATCTTTTTCCTTTTATGATCTTTTCTTCAGTTAGAATACACTTTCTCTTTTGCCAATTTGAATTTTTCCATGTCAAAGCTCATTACTTCCAAGAATGGAATTAATCACTAACAGAGTCCACCTCTAAACCTTGCTTTGACTATTCTGATTAGTTACACAAATACATTGTAAATCAATATGTGCTTCCTTATAAGTTTCCTCAAAGGGATTTGGAGCATCCCAAGGTGTGGGTGAAGGTATGAAACACTTTCCAAGTATACCTTATGTTCCTCAGAAACCAGGACCCATTCACATCCCATTTGCTACATGTCATGTCCAAAGTGGGAACTGAAAAGCTTTTGAATAAGTGAAAATTTTTAAAACGAGTAACTATTGTTTCAGACATTCAGATGGTTATCAAAGATGTTTGAATTTTAGGAATCTAGTTTTGTGCCAACATGTGTGGTCTTATACTTACTGGAACAGAAACTTGGGGATTATCTGCAAGTTTTCCCAGCACAGCAAAGCCATCGACATTGATTTGGCTCCTCGGTTTAATAGGTAAAGATTCAATCTTGATGCAGTCAACAAAGAGAGTAGCACTACTGCTTTCCACACCAATCATGACTTTGTGCCACTGGGAATCGAACAAGGAGGGCAATTTTGAAAAAGCTGCTGTTTGGAGGCTTCCATCAAGTCCCTTATAAGAAAATGCAACAGATTTTGTTTGGCCATTAATCTTCACACCAACTTGCTCCTTCCCCGAGGAATCTTGAATCTGCCAAATGTTCCAGTTCTTTTCAAGTGTGCTTCCAGTCATCCGGAAAGTAGTTAGAAACGAGTATTCTTCAGGCAGTCCACTGGGATATAAATGCCTTAGGAAAACAGTAAACAGAAATCTTGTTTTCTGTACTCATCTCCCCCTCCCTCGACCTTTTGTTATTTTAGATTCTAGACCTACAGCGGCTACAGTGTGAAAATCTATGTACCATTTGTTCTTTCATGACTAATCATACAAACCTTCACAGTTCATTGGTGTACTTTAATGCTCCATCTTAAAATACACATTTTTGAAACTCCTCCTTCATAGCTGAGGAAGGTTCCCCAAGGCCACACATAACCCCATCAATGTTACTATTTATACTCCCCAAAGAGCTACTGTTCAGCAATCCTATCTCAGCCAAAAAATACATTTCTGCAAAGGTCTTGGCAATATTTCTTTCACAAGGAAGACAGGAGATCATTTGCAATCCAAATACATTCTACCAGCTTATAAAACCATTTTTAATTTTAATATAACAAGTTACTTTTTACTCCATAATTACTGCAGTACTCCATGCCATGATTATGTCTCAGATTCCCATAAATACATTGAGAATTACTACGCATCACTGTACAGACTATTTAGAAACGTCTTCAGATTGAAGGTGTTTGCCTTTCCCAGAAAGTTGTTACATTAAGATGGCAGTCATTTGCTTGCCACTAAATTACAACAATGCAAAGTGACCAGTTCTTTTCTAATCTAAATTCTTCAATTTTCCAAGTAAAGCTTTATCGTTGCTACCTCTGTTAAGTGGCAGTGCAGCAAGGTCCACAAGACATCTCCTGCCTGTATAGAACCCATCATCTGGAGCTGAACCTCTGTTGACAATTGTTAAATGCTGAAGACTGAACTTTAAAAATCAAGACATTTTAAATGTAAACATCTTCCAAGAACTTGAAAGCTATATTCTTTATCCTCTTATATTCATAAAAAAAAAAAAACCCTGAACAAGGAGGCTAGGAAAACTAAATGCCAAGAGTTGTGTTTGCCAAATAGTTAAATTTGATATCCATAAGAACCAGGACACTCCATCTCAAATAATCTTTTTCCAGATTAAGCTCTTCTTCTATAACAACCTTCCGATGAATAGTAAAGAGAAAGTCAAGAATATCTAAATTAAAGTAATATTGACCTATTTGTTATAAACTAAAAAACAATAACATACAAATTTATTGATTGGCGTAACTGCTGTTGCCATCTACGTACTGTGGGACTCTCCACTCCAGAAAACTCCTTAGTTTCAAGGATACTTAGCAATGAGTTTAACTATTCAATTTGCTAAGACATTCTATCTTTACTTTGGTTTTAGCTATGGACCTTTATAACATGACCAAGTTTTAACTCATTTTTCTGCAAATTTTTTTTTTCAGACTTTAAATAAACTTGATCAGCTAGCTCAATAAGTTTCATTGCTTTGTCTTTTTTGTAAGGGTAAGAAAGAGGTAAAACTTCATCTCAGTACTCTCCTTGATTGGCCTTTTAGCCACTATTCTAGATGACAAGTTTGTATTTATGGTATTGGATGAATTTCTTTATCAAGGAACATTTTTAGATGGTCACTGGTGACACATTTTTAGTTTCAAAGTTTACAGTTAACATCTGTCAAATGTGTTGCAAGTTTTAACAAATACTTTTAATATTAATTGCAGCTAAAAAAATGTGCAAGTTACTGGCCCATTTTCTAGAATCAAGCTGTCTACCAAATAATTGCAAATATTTGTTTAAATATTAATTCTATTTTTCTATTGATTAATCATTTCCTTTGAGTTTCTCTTTAGAATTATTAACCAGAACATCTAGAAAAGAAACTAAAGTTTTCTAGTGACAATATACTGCCTGTTGTGTAACTGTAAAAGCTCAACAAGGTTTGCACACCTCATGTAAGTGACTTAAATGTAGGATTGTGGATATAGTTTTGAAGCTCTACTCAAAAGATAATATTCAGAAAGTATTTAAATTATATTCTTTAGATCATTTTAACTATATCCAAGTTTAAATTTTTAACCTTTGTTCATAATGATTGTCTGAGCATGTGGTTTTTGTGAAAGAAAATTGAATAATTTGTGTTACCTTCAAGGATTGTTTTTCTAGCCTTAAAAGTTCTCCTGTTACTTGCATATTGATGGATGTACTGGTCAAAACTGTTGAAATTAGAATCCCTCCAAAAGACAGATCTACTTTGTTTTTATTATAGAAGTCCCAATAACATGTTTAGGCCACCCTTATATATAGATACATTATATAAATGAGGGTTCTCTCCCACTTCGCTTCATTCAGCTGACTCAATTTGGGAAATATGTTAAAGGTGGTATAGAACTTCTCTATTTACCTCTGATTTTAATTATGTAATGCCAAGAACTACAAATGTAAAAATTGAAAGAGGGGGCCTGGTATGATGGCTCAATTGGCTAATCCTCTCTTTGTAAGCACAAGAATCTCGTATGGATGACAGTTTGTATCCGGTATCCTCTACTTTCCATCGGCTCCCTGCTTATGGCCTGGGAAAGCAGTAGAGGATGGCCCAAAGTCTTGGGACCCTGCAGCCATGTGGGAGACCTGGGAAGAAGCTCCAATCTCCTGGCTTTGGATCAGTTCGGCTCTGGCCATTGAGGCTATTTGAGGGGAGAATTAACAAATTAAAGATCTTTCTGTCTCTGCTTCTCTCTGTAAATTTGCCTTTGCAATAAAAATAAGTAAATCTAAAAAAAAAATACTGAAAAAGTGATGCATGTGGGATTAACTCAAAGATTACCTTATTTACAGGCATATTGTTAAACCAAGAGTATGTCTTTCTCTTCCTACATATTATGTGTGCATCTGCACACAGAGGACATAAATTTTCTATAGACTTTGAGGAAATGCTTATTTCAAAAATGTCACTGAAATGGGACTAAAAGGTAAATTCATCTTAGTGCAAAAATTTTTTGAAATCCAAGCATGTGAGCACAAAAGCTACAGCACAAGTTCACTGAAACATATTACAAAAAAACATTGTTTCAAGCTTTTTGTAAATCAAAAGAAACTTTACAATTACATTTTCCTTTAACTTTTTAAAGTACTTTTGAAATGTGTATGTGCAATTACTATTAAAATTATATTCATCATTGAGATTAGGTTAGCAACAGTCTACCAATGTGTAAAAAGATAAATCATTTTACTGTTCACAAAACATGTTGTGAAATATTCCTAGAGTCACTTATCACTTTCACAGGTCCAGTTTATAATACAGGCATTCCTATGGTCTTTTTGAACATTTGAGGTTCTATACTTGCTGTTATGATCTGTACATGATAAATCATATATGCTCCTAAGCTTAAAAAGTCGGCAATGTGAAAAAGAAGTCGGCAATGTGAAGGATTTATTTCATTATGTTACAATCTGCAGAGTACCTTAAATGTAGAGCTGCAGGGTTTGAATAAAAGCTTAAAAAGTCTTTGGATTTGAAATATTTCTTCTTGAATTCAACAGAAAGAAAATCAAAGATTTTAAGAAAAAGTTTACATGTTATAAGTAGATACAAAGAAGGTGAAGCCATCATGCCTAAGATAAAGAAAAAGTCACACCAAAAAAAATATATTTTTCAAAAATGAAGACTGGAAAGAAGGTGAGATAGAGTGAAGGAGAGAGGAAGGAACTCTCTACATTCTTAAAACTATATCTATGAACTATATTTAGTCTACACTCTTTGTATTTTTCTGTCAATATTAATAATGTATTAAAAATTAAAATGAATTGTGACTGTCACATTCATTTCAAAGGCCACGATCATCTCTCGCGAGGAGCTCCTGTGAATAGTCTCCACTGTCTCAGAGCCTGTATTCTCTAGCACAGAAGGTCTCTTAAAATAATTTTCTACTCAGTGTGTGGCCTGAGAGCAACTGCCACCAGACTTTTGAAAAGCAAGAATCCACAAGTAGCAAAGACTGTTTGCATTCAAGTGAAGAGCACAGAAAGGAAAACACCCAACACCACCATGTCCCACACCTCCAGCTCTGCTCACTCGCTCTCTTCCTCTAGTTTTTGCAAGAAGCAGAGGGAGTGAGGGAGTTGCTTGAACCATTCCCTGCTGCTTCCCGAGGTGTGCATCAGCAACAATCTAGAGTCCAGAGCAAGAGCAGCAGATCAAATCCAGGAACTCCAGTTAACCAGTACCTTAACTGTTAAGTCAAATGCCCTCTTTGTCTTTTATTTTAAAAGATTCATTTTATTTTTATTAAATATTTTATCTTTTAAAGGCAGATTTAGAGAGAAAGGCAGATACAGAGAGAAAGATCTTCTATCCAATGGTTCACTCCAAGTGATCACAATGGCCAGAGATAAGCCAATCTGAAGACAGGAGCCAAGAACTTCCTCTGGGTCTCCCATGCAGGTACAGGGTCCCAAAGCTTTTGGCCATCCTCCACTGCTTCCCCAGGCCACAGGCAGGAGCTGGATGGGAGGTGGAGCAGCCGGGACATGAACAAGCGACTCATATTTATTCCTGGCACATACAAGGCAAGGATTTGGCCACTAAGCTATTACACCAGGCCCCTTCCCTCCATTTTTCTTTTTTAGGTCTTTCTCTTTTCTCTTTCTTCTAATTTCCTTTTCCTTTTCTCATGTTTTAATAAACTTTCACAGGATAATAGGAGCTTTGGCCTTTGTGGGAGCAGGCAGTCCAAGAGACAGTGAATATGAGAGATCAGCTATTGCTATGCAAAATACTTAATGCCATGTCCATGAATTTACAGAACAGAAAAGATGAGGCTATTGGGCCTCAAACTAGCAAATGTCTAAACTTATTGATGACATTCCTGTCATTCAAAAACAGAAAAGTAGATCACTCCTGGGATACTGTTGTCAGGCCTAATATTTTATTAAAGAACAAAAACATTACGTTTATCTAAAACCACAAAGAATTCTGCATATAAAAAAATAAGCAAAAAAGTCAATATAGCTATTTTCATGCTCATAGTCTTTCAAAATGTGAGTAATTTTCCAGAACCAGTATCAACTAATAGTTAGAATCAGGATCTGAGACCATTCTGCCCAAGTTTCATTGCACCCAACAGGTTCCAGTCCTATGATTTATGTAAGTAAATTAAACCTTTGGGACTCTGCTTCCTCCCGCATAAAATAAGGATAATAATTTCCCCAAAACACGAGGTTATGGTGATAATAAGAAATATTAGTAAGCTTAAAGAATTCATACAGTGTATTGCCTAGTCTAAAAGTGTAATATGTTCAAAGTGCAAATTTATATCTGGACTGTGGCCATACTCTGCGAATTTGAGCAACTTCAACATTTTGATAAATATTTTGCTTCTAGAATTCTTTCACTAATCATTACTTTTTTACCTTAACTTGGATGCTAATCCTAAACTTCTTATGCATATATCACAGGAAGCTGAATTTTTTGAATGATAAAATAGTCATGATAACACACATAAGACATAGTTGATGTAAACGTTAAACCATCGAAGTTTGATTTACAGTGATGGCATGACTCAGCACCTACAAGTACACTAAAATATCCTGGTTATAAATAAAGGAATGAAAGACTTAGTTTCAGAGGAGGATATCAGTGAATTGTATGAGAAGTTATTATCAATACCCTTGCTTCTGGTATCACTATCTTAGCTTTACTTTTCTTTGGTGTCTGCCAGAAAACAAGCACTGGATATGTATTTCTGTTTCAGCACCAGAACACTTGAACAGCACCATTGTGAGTTTTCTAACCACTCCAGGGCTCCTAGTTAAATTTATGCTTAACCCCTGGCACTTTTCACAGAGGGTCCTTTCAGTCAAAACCAGACAAATTATGGAAGAACTGAAAGCAAAGCAGTAAGAACGTGTCTTGAATCAATGTGCAATAGTCTCACTCATGTTTTCTTATAACCTCAAATGGAAAGTAAATTACATGCCGAGAACATAAAGAACAGCATTGAGGCTCTACAGCTAGGAAAATGAATACATTCCTGCATTTTTTAAAAATCACAATCCAAGAAACACTGAGCATGAGAAAATTTCTTGACCCCAGATAGTTGTCCATTTGAAAAAGGTTTTTGAAGCAGATGATTAAATATTTTTCATAGATTACCTGGTTGGAATCCTGAAATCTACATTATTTCCCAACTTGTAAGCAACTTGTAATGTAGTTGATCCCTCTACTCTCTGGATAGTTCTTTGAGATGCTGCTTTATCTATTTGGAACTGAGAAATCAGGTCAAACCCTAAAGAAAAGAAATATAAAAGAAGTCCCAAGGTGGAATTGGTTTTATTATTTTCTACAACTTTATGAAAGAACATATTAGGTTTACAGAAGGTGTTTTTAGTATGTGTTTTACTTGCCAGGTAAGTCATCTTGGCCATTCCTGATCTTTGGACACAGTTCACCTCCACCATTAGAATTTGAATTGACAGGGAATCCTGCGAACGAAGTAACATGTCATCCTGCTTCATACAATACTGGGATGACAGGATAACACAATAATACACAGATTAGCAACTATTTAAAACACAGCTTTACATCAGATAGCTTATAAGCAGTACATTTGGATTTAACACTATGCCTCTATTTTTTTCAGATTCAGCTCATCTTCGACTAGATACAAGTACAAAGCTGCTTTTAGAACATGTGTTGGGAAAAATACTCCTTGAGGAGGTAAGAGATGTATTCCTTTCGAAACCAGATCTGAATAATGTCCTGAATGACACAGGATTAGAAGCCTGTTTGAGGAATATTTTCTAGCCCAAACCACAAGAAGTTATTCAAACACCACAAATCCTTAAACCAGCTCAATGGGGCTTCTAGAGAGCAAAATTCTTAGGAATTTTGGCCAAATAGATTCATTGACACTAGACCAAACAAAGAATGTACTTAATGTTGTTAATTCACTCTGAGAGTAAATAATCCCACTAACATTTTTTCTAGCTCTCTAGAATTAGAAAGAATGAGAATTAAATAATCATAAAAAAAAAAACTCTCAGTATGATGAAAAATCGTAGTACCCTAGTCATCCTAGTATCCTCAGTATGATCGATTGGGAACTCCTTACACATTAGGAAGTTTCTAGGGAAGAAGACTTTCTTTGCTACCAGAGAAGGCTTCGTGTAACTGTCCAAATGCACTGCTTTCTGACACTCAATGTTAAAGACTTCCTAGACTCCAGAAAGTCTTTTCCAGATACAAGATTTGGCCCTGCCATCATGGTGCATACTCTTTACATCTCCACTGACTCCAGACCATCGGAGACCATCCACTCATCCATCCATCCAGCATTTACCAATTGCTATATGAACCAGCCATTGTGCTAAACACTGGAACAAATCAATCAGTTAACAATAATCACAACCCAGGACCTCCTTTCCCATACTCAGCATCAAACTCAGAAAACCAATCATGGTGTATTCACACAGCCCAGGGCAGAAATGAAGAGCGAGCATGTGGAGGGCTGTGAAGGACTCTTCACCTAGCCACAGCCCGTCTCGCCATTTCTGGAAACTAGGAATATTTTGGAATCTGGAAATTCTGGCCCTTACTTGGCCGACGCTTGACAGCTGCAGATGCCCATGGTCCCAGGAAACTGCATACAAAGAAGAAAGCTGGAACTGTCCTGAAGACAGAAGAAAAAGTGATTTGGGAAAGATTTTTTCAGCTGGCAGGAACTTTCATATTTTTATCAAATCCCCCTATCTCTAAAATCTTTACTTTTGAAGTGTTAAAGATATTTCATGAACTTTCCATTTCCACTTTCCACCGTCTCTAATGGGTTATCAACTTCACTTTCTCTGTATCCACCCATATTATTTTTTTCCTCTTCATTGTCCATTTTATCTTAGATTTTTTCCTTTCATTTCCTATTGCTGTCTCCCTCCCTTTTCCTCTTCTCCTTTCTCTGTGTATCACGTATCATGCTTGCTCTGTCTCTCATCTGTCTCTTTCTCTGCTCTCACCAAATTTCATCTCTTTACTCCAAGTCACCACAGAATTTTGGTTCTGAAAGCCTGCATATTTATCTCTCCCCCACTAATCCCAAAGGCATGGTCTTACCAGCAGCTCTTCATCTTCCCAGCTGTTTTCCAAGTGCCAATGGAAGAAAGGGTAGGAGGGGAGTCACTGCTCCCCAAGACCCCTTTACCGTCACCCTAGGTTAGTGAGTTCTGGATCAGCCCTTGTCCTTCCTGCCCCTGTGAGGGCTGAATGCAAAGGGAGTGTTCCAGAGGCATCCAGGAACACTTTAAACGGGAGCAGAGGAAAGGGGTGGGAAGAGGCAGCTTTGCAAGCCCAAACCTAGGCAGGGGTGTGTCCTCAAGGCTAACAAGGTTATATTGAAGGAGGGATCAACAGGGCAAAGTTTGTTGAGAGGAAAAAAATTAAATCAGGATGTGGGAAAAATTATGAGAAAGATCCAGGCATGCTGTGATAGGAATACACTGGGAGCTTTCAGAGGAGCTATAGGAACACAGAGAACACTTTCAGAACTGCTATAGGAACACAACTGTGAAGTCTTGGGAGTGCAAAGGTTCCAGTTAGCAATGGCCATGGGTTTGCAGAGACAGGGAAAGTCAAAGGATCCTTGATGCCCACCTAACCTAGGTTTGAATCTGTATTTGCTCTGAAGTAGACCACCTGTATGTCTTCGAGCACATTAGTTAGCATCTAGCTCAGTTACCTTAATTGTAAAACAGGTTGAAAGTTACTTACACAAAAACAACTGTTTAGAGAATTCAGGTGGCCTAAGATGATGTTACACTAATAGTCATTTTTTGCCATTGTCAGTCATTGCTTCAAATACTTCATTATATGCTTCCCTCTGTTGAAACTATTTAATGTCTGGTGACATTTAATTCTTGGGGTAACAGAGTAAAATCATCCTCACTCTTCCTATTAAAAACAGACACCAGAAAATGAAATAACTTGCCCAAAGTTGCTGTTACTCAACACATATTAGTTCTCTCTCCTTAATGTCTGGAAATTCTGACAAAATGTTAACATCAAATCCCCTTGGTACTTGCTCCTTCTTAAACTCAGATGCTCAGAGTTGAGCAGAATATATCTGGAGATAAGCTGCAGATTTCCCTGCATAAACAAGTGGAAAGCAAGTCATAACTGTCACAGACCTGAAAAGATACATTTCATTAGATCCACTGTGACACATGCCCATGCTCTTCCCCCTAAGTCCCGATCATCTTGGGAGAAGACCCACAAGGCCTCAGGTACACATCCACTCTGGAGAGCCCATGTCTATCATCACGACATGAGTCTAGCAAACTGTTGGGGATAGGACTGAACCACTGATACAAGTCATAGTGTCCAGGACAGGCTAAATTTCAGATAGAAATTTGTTTCCTTTTAATGTCTATTTTCATGAGTATGTTAATTACAAATCATTGCTTATTTTGCTTTAGATAAATAGAAGTTTCTTCCTCTTTTGCTTCCATTAGCCCTCTGGAGAGATTAGCCAGATGAAGTAGAATCACATGGATCATTGTCCCCTTCGCCTATATTTCTGTACTCACAACCCACCTCTTGGTACCTTGTCTGCCCCTCCCAATGGGATATCTAATTCTATATTTTGCTTGGGCTGTCCACAGGTCCTGTCACTGTTCTATCAAGATTCTCATTTGGGGGGCCAGCAATCTGGCATAGCAGGTTAAGCAAAGTGACCACATATAATATCCGTATCACATTTGAACACAGGCACAAGTCCTTGCTGCTCCAGTCCCAACCCAGCTCCCCAAAAACGTTCCTAGAAAAACAGAGAGAGGACACTAGCACCTGCCACCCATGTGGGAGAGCCAGTGGAATCCCTTACTTCCGGCTCTTACAGTCATTTGCAGAGTGAATCAGCAAATGTAAGCTGGCTTGCACTCCTGCTCTTTCTCCACCCACCCCTCTCCAAAACTCTGCCTTGCAAACAAGATAAATCATTTTTTTAAATGAAAGATTCCTATTCCTTAGGACAGCTGTCCTGAATCAATGATAGAATCACAAATGGCCAGAACCTAGCTTCAGTATTTTAGTCAGGGCTTAAGTAAAGGAGCAATTTATTCACCTCGGTGGAGATTGTACAACTAAAAACCTTCCTGAGATTCTGAAGTCACATGAGGTAAGCCAACCTAGATACAATAGAAAACACATTCTCCTCTCCTGCTGCTTCCTCTGATAAGAAGGTACATTTTCCTGTCCAATTATGTGATTTAGAGATGTCTTCTCTACACTTGCCCTTACCCTTTTCCCCTCCTTTACAAAGAAAAGGGAATTAAAATATGTATTTTGACTTAAAAAAAAATCAGAATACATGCAAAGGGGTCTTCAGCAAATGGCTCATGGAAAACAAGTATTACAGAAAAAAATTATTTCAAAAAAAATGTTACCAGAATTAACTTTTAATTTTTCCAAGAATGTTTTAAAGCTTTGCTTATAAAGTTGTTTGGCTTCCTTCCAATTTTTTGATTTCATGAAAGAAAAGCAAACAAAGGACTTACTGAGAATGTGCTTATGAATCCAGAGGTAGACAACATATATACAATCCTCAATGATACTTTGTTCTCATTTTGCATTAGTCATATTTCCTAACATGGCATATAAGTGTCACAGAGAACAAATCCTACAATATCCCAGTCTGAGTCAAGTGGTACCCCAAAGTCATCACCATTTAAACTGACTTTTAACATTGTTCTTCCCTTTTTCCTGACAGTTTTGCTCTGAAAGAGAAAAAACATGTGGAAATAAAATATGATCTATCGTAACTCTAAATTCACTAAGTACTTTGATATTCAAAGTGATTTATACATGCAAATATCTTTTAAATTATACTTTCACCCCTCTCTTCCCTACCTCAATATGCACATCATTCTATACATTTTACATGCACTCTAATATACCCACTCTTTGAGAATACTTTTTTTCAATTTAATCATCCCAATGATCTTTCATGATCATCTATTCTCCTTTGTTTATCTAATCATTTAACATTTGTGGAATAACTACTTGTCCCTAGTATGTGCTAGGGGTTGAGAAAACGAAAGGCATTCTTAAGTGAATTCTTGCTTTGAGGAAGTTCATATTCTACCAGACAATAAAAATAAAAATACTGTGAGTATAAAAGCTGTGGTATTTGCTTATTTCAGCACATCCCATAACTGTACTGATACTGCAGACAAAAACTGGGCCCCTGCTTACCTCCTCCCCACTGCTGCCCATGGAGCTTAAAAACTGTGGAGACTGTCTCTAAGCATATTTATACACAAAGTGATCCCAGTTGGAACATTAAGAAAATATATAAGAGGAGGTAAAAACGTGTGCTGCCAAAATAAAAAAAACTACAGTGTATATAGAAGCTGATCTAGATTGAGGGGCTGGAGCAGGCTGCTCTGGAGTGATGGGTTGTATTGCACACCACATGAGAAATGAGACCTGATAAGGCAAATGGGGAGAGGAGTGGGGTGCAAGGAGAACAATCTGGTCTGAACTTGTGCCGAGAGCAAATGGTGATGTCACCTTCTGACAAGTGGGAATACCATGGGGAGGAGCTAGGTAAGGCACCTGGAGCAGCCCTGAGTCAGGACTTTATTCTGGCTATTACAGAGACAAGTTTGAAGCCAACACCAACTTGTTCAGAAACAGCTTTAGAAAGATTGACCCATGTTTTTTGAAGGATAGATGGAGTAAATTTAACCAATAAATTTTCCGACATGCTTTGGAAACAAACCTTCAGAAACACCTAACCATGAGAATGGAATGTGCTCATTTTAGTGTTGGTGACCAACTCAGTAAGTCAATTCCAGGACCAGCTGATGAATTACAACTCAGGATTCAAAGAAAAAAGATGAATTGTGATCAGTAGGCATTAGAAATGCAAAGAAACATCTTTCCTTTTAATTTCTGGTATGGGGCACAACAATCGGGATACCCTATAAATCCAGAGTAGTAGGACAAGTTTCTTAGCTTTAACAACTGTGTTTTTCAAATGTCCTTTTGAAGTAGCCACAAACTGATGTTAAAGATGTCATGACTCCTGTATTTAGTTTATATATCAGAATAATAAAGAAAAGGCATTGTAAAAGCTAGCTACCTAATGTCTCCAGTTTTGAATTGCATTCCCTCAAAATGCATAGGGCTGCATTCAGTTGTTTGGGGATACTACAAATTAGCCACAGCTAGAGTCCAAGATTTATCACGGAAATTTCTAGCCAAGTGGTTGATTAACAATCAGGGTTGCTAAAACTGAGACTCACAATTTTGCACTGGGTTCAGCTTAGCTTCACTGTAATGAAACGTCAAAGATCTATTTTTAATCTGCTTACTTTTGTAATTGTAGCCTAATCATCCATGGAAAGCAAATCAAGCCCCACAGTGAAAGCCATCTCTCTGAAACCACTCACAAATGTGCTCTCCCTATGAAACATTAATACAAAAACCATCTGACTTCACATCAGCCTTCAACACCCAGGCCTTTCAGCATATTATTTCTGCTTCCTCTAAAATATGAGCGTTTCCATTTCCCCAAAGAGGAAAAGAAATCAGTTCCCCTCCACAGCACACGTGCTTCCAGGAGCGTTTGATATATTTGCTGCCTTGCTGGGCTTCCAGTTTATAGCAGCTGATTCGTCTTAAACTTATTTCACTCCTTCCAATAAACCACACATGCTGGTGCATCAGCTTGTTTCTTTGCAAACTGTCAATCTTTTTTTTCTAACCATGGCTCCCAGAGCTACAACAGAATCATCTGGATGATTTGTTAGAAGCAGACTCTTGCCTCCAGCCCACAATGTTTCCAATTCAGGAGTTCAAAGGCAGCTCAAAAAAAAAAATTGGGCATTTTTAACATGCTCCAGCTAATTGGGATCGGGCCGAGTCCACTAAGAAGTATTGCTCATGCAGTTCATGCCGTTAGTGACCTCGCTTTATTACAACTCATACGGGCACAGGTATTGATTTGCAAAGCTTCAGTGTATAAGTGTTGCATGATCAGATTTCTTGACATTTGGCACATTAATTAAATTTCAGCTTGGGACACTTGTACCTCACCTGAATGCCTAAATCGAATCCAGTTACTCTG